AGACGGAGGAGATGAGACAGGAGCGATATGTTTAAAGTCACACAGTGGAACATTCCAGGCAAAGCAGTAACATCTCCATGGAGACAAGCACTTTTACTCTCTGGATTTTAACACCGCGTGGATTTTTAGCTTGATACGTTTTAACACTTTTAATGTATTGTTTTTCTTTATGAGTTCGTGTCTTTTACTGTAGTAATTTGTCTGTGTGTCACTTTGGAAACCGTCCCGTTTATAAAAGAAGCTGCATAAATAAAGCGGATTGGAAGAAAAGTCACACAATGCACCTTTACATTTTTGCTTCCTCTTCTCACTGAGTAGAGCTGGGATCAGTAAGAAGTTGCAGATACTACGAGTGTGCAAAAATATTGAAATATCGATATATCGTATCCTTGAATGCGATGATACAGTATCGATATCATGGGCTGCTGCATCTGTATATCGCCAAGAGTATTTTGTGGTTTATTTTACGTATTATTTAGTTACAGTGCTACAGATTTGTTCCTTATTTAGTGGAAAGAAACTTGTTTATGCGTCACATTTGAAATTTTCACAGTTTTGAGGATTAAAATTTGTGTTTTTCTTATGAACTTTGCACAAGAAGTGGTTTAACAAAGACTTTTAGTATCACAGCAATGGTTTAGCCTTTATTTTTTCATTGAACCATATCGAATCTATTGCAATATGAATGAAATATATCGTATCGAATCGAAAGCGCACTGTATCGAGATATGTATCGTATCATGTCCTATATATTCAAACATGTATCGTATCGGCAACTTCTTAATGATACCCAGCAGTAGCAGATACGATACAAACCTCGATACAAAGGCCACGATACGATACAGATCTCGATACAGTGAGCTTTCGATTCGATTTGATATATTTCAAATCAATCGGTCCAATAAAAATAAAGTCTAAATCATGTCTGCGATACTAAAAGGTTTGTTCGTGTGCAAAGTTCATATGAAACACAAACATTTTAATCCTCAAAACAGTGAAAATGTCAAATTCCTTCCTCTAAAAAAAGCAACAAAACTGTAGCTGTAACAAAATAATTTAGTAAAATAAACAAAAAAATACTCTTGGTGATATATCGATACAGCAGCCCACGATATTGATACTGAATCATCACAATAAACGATGCGATATGTCGATATTTTGATATTTTGACACACCTCTAACTGTGAGTAGGGCTGGGATCATTCAAAAGTTACTGATTCGATACATATCTGAATACAGTGAGCTTCTGATTCGATATAATATATTTCAAATCGATTTTATACGATTCAATAAAAAATAAAGTTTAAATCAACTAAAAGTTTTGTACTTGTGTAAAGTTCATATGAAACACAAACATTTTAATCCTCAAAACAGTGAAAATGTCAAATTCCTTCCGCTAAAAAAAGCAACAAAACTGTAGCTGTAACAAAATAAATTAGTAAAATAAACCAAAAAATACTCTTGGCGATATATAGATGCAGCAGCCCATGATATCGATACTTTAAACGATACGATATATCAGTATTTCAATATTTTTGCACACCTCTAACTGTGAGTAAGGCTGGGAATCATTAAGAGGTCGCCGATACAACACACACCTCGATACAGTGCACTTTAGAGTCGATAACGATATATTTCAAATCAATTCGATACGGTTCAATAAAAAATAAAGTCTAAATCATGTCTGTGATTCTAAATGTTTTTGTTAAATCACTTCTTGTGTAAAGTTCATATGAAACACAAACATTTTAATCATCAAAACAGTGAAAATGTCAAATTCCTTCCTCTAAACCACGGGTGTCAAGCATACGGCCCGATGATACTGAAAAAATGCCGATAGCCGATATAATCACCGTTATATTTAGTGATGTAAAAATTCACTGTAAAAAACTTTGGTTTGGCTCTAGTGGATTTTAAATTGGGTTTATTTAGGCAACATTTATTGTTCTTCTGACTCTTTATGTCATATTTACAGACAGTAGGTCGACCTAATGGCATTTTTGCATCACATTCTAGCAGTAAAGAAAGTAAACTATTGCGATAAGCCTTCAGCCATAAATGCTGCACGCCATGGTAATTCATTATATGTGTAAATGTCGATCATTCACACCTCTATTCACAGCAATGCAGGTCCAATCACAAATATAATCACTTTACTGTCGGCCAGTGTCAGAGAAATCAGTCTGTTTATGTGCGGGAGCTACAGCAGCTAATCGCTAACCAATGTGAAAGAACCAAAACCAGCTTCAAATCCGACATATTTCCAACACTCACCGCTCACACAGGCCCTCCAAGACCTTTAATCTGGCCCTCGGCTGATTTTCTACTAACATATTTTAATGATATTTTGTATTAAAATATTGTTAATTTTCTGTGGTGTTTATCACAGCAGCGTCTCCAGCGTCTCTGTACGTGGCCCCTCCCACCAGAGCAGCACAAATGAAGACTTGTCTCTTTCCAAACGCTCTTAAAGGACGATCGTTTTGACTGTTGACCGTGACACCCTCATCAGAAAAATGTCCAACATGAGAAAAGTGGAGCCGAGTGCAGGATTTTACAACAAAAATGGACTTATTCCTGTTTACAGACAAGTTCATGTTCAAACATTGTGCTGAAATTGTATTTTCTTAAAGTTTTAGGTTGTTCATAATATTATAATATTTTGTAAAAGAAAGAGTTCATCAATGAAAAAAGATTTCTGTAATAGATTTGTGTTTCTCTGCACAAATATTTGAACTTATTGTTATTTCTGTAGTTTATTTTTCCAGCCGCTTTGGGATCAAAGTCAGTTGGATACTACGGATGGGCATGATTAGTCGATTAATCGATAATAGATCATTAAGAATTTCATCGATTACGTTCATTTTCATCGACAAACTGAATGTATGTTTGTGTGTCGTGACCAAACAGGTGTGTACATGTGTCTCTGCATCAGAAGGAGCGAGACACAAACAGTGGGTCAGTCTGTAACGAACCGAAGCACAAATGTGGATTTAACCAGGATTTGTAGAAGAAATTCCACACTTTCCGTTGCGTTGGGACAAGTGTGAGTCCATGTGCACAGTGGATAAAGCAGCACATATGTTTCTGTGTCCAGTGGGAAAAAGTTTTTCCAGGTGAGAGTCGCTCAATGTGGATGACGAGGCCCCGCCCCCCTCCCCCCGTACGCTGTCCTGGTTTTGACAAACACAAATCTGGTCACACTGACCTGTATTCACCTGAGTCATGTCTTTTAATCCAACACAAGTTGAACCACATCAGCGACACAAGAGCTGGAGTTTTATCTTCACTTAGTTTATGTAAATTAGTGATGTGGTTTTAAGTTTTGTTTCTGTGAGATTTGAACAAAACTGAATTAAACACATTATAATGTCAAACAGCTGATGTGGATCTAGAGTCGTTATGTTTATATGTGGTAAAGTTGAATTTATTTATGCAGATTAGTGCAGATAGTAATAATAATGATGATCATTTTAATATAAAAACGTTAATGATTAATCAATAATCAATCGTTAATTCTTCCGACGATCGATTAAAAAAATGTCATCAAATGCCCATCCCTAGTCGATAACGATATATTTCAAATCAATTCTATACGGTTCAATAAAAAATAAAGTCTAAATCATGTCTGTGATTCTAAGTTTTTGTTAAACCATTTCATCTGTAAAGTTCATATGACACACAAAAATTTTAATCATCAAAACAGTGAAAATGTCCAACTCCTTCCTCTAAACAAACAACAAAACTGTAGCTGTAACAAAATAATTTAGTAAAATATGTCGCCAAGAGTATTTTTTTGGTATATCGATACTGCATCATCACATTAAACGATACAGTATATCGATATTTCAACATTTTTGCACTTCCCTAACTGTGACTAAGTGTTTCTCGCAGCTCCTTCTGATATGATTTAGTTTGTCTAAAGTTTTTTGCGCCTGTGCTTTAAAAACACCACACTCCATGCATGATTTAAGGTTTTATCTTTCACATTACATGAACTATAAACGATAAATCCGATGACAGTTCCTTGTTTAGTAATTTTTCCTCCAAATACGCATCTGTCAAACGCTCTAAACTGGCCCATCCTTGACTCTTTTTACTCCGAAAAATAAAAATATCTTTACTTAAAGGTTGTATAGAGGATTTTTTTAAGGGAAGAGAAATACAGCGACAGTCCTTGTGCGCGTTCAGAATTACTGTTGAAGTTTCCTGTCTAGAAGTAATTCAGCGACCGACGCGTCAGTTTTTAGACGCTTCGTCTGCTTCGGTCGCGCCATCGCTGGACGAGATCTCCAAGAATCACCTCAGTTTGTCTTTGCTCCTTTTCCTCTTCTCTTCTTCTTTCAGCGACCTCAAAAACGGACTTTCTTTTGCGGTGAACCGGTCATGGATTCTCGTCCGCCGTCGCTACAAACTTTGTGCGAAATGCGAGGAAGCGACAGTTCGAAAAAGCCTCTAAGAACCGCTGCGTAAACCATGTAATCCCCGCGCTCCGACGTGTCAGTTATACTAGGGAGTTAGATTGACAACCTAACAGCCAATAGAAAATGAGGGAGCCTCGTTTTCTATTGGCTGATGTTTATCTGGCCTCAACACGTCCACAGTTGATAGATTTTCTTTCTTTTTTTTTTTTGGTCATCATAATTACAAAGCTGCTGTGTCTCTGTAATGATATTTTAATCTTTCACTGACAGTTTGAAACTGAAAAAAATCCTCCATACAACCTTTAACGATTTCTCAAAGACTCACGAACACTTCAGATGAATTAGTGCCGTTTTTAATTTAAATTATTAATTAAAACTGCAGAAAAACGCGACGCTAGAGCTGCTGCCCATTGAAACGCGCGTAATAATGCAGTTTAAAACGGTGCAAAAAGCTGATTTACGGTAAAACTGTATGTGCATTTTTATTTTTAGACGTTTGTAAATAAAAATAGCGTGGAAAAATTATGATTAAAGCGGTGAAATGTCCCGTGGCTCCGGGTTTGTGCGTTTTTGTACCTTGGCGTCGCACAGGTCCACGCGCAGGAAGATCTCCCCGCGGCGCTGGGCCCAGTAAACATGCGGGGTGAGGAGCTGCATCTTCGGCCTCGGGTCCAGGGGAGGGTCGGTCTACATGCCCCGGAGGAGGAAAAAAAAAAACGCAAATAACAAAAAAAAAAAAACCCAAAAAACTGCGCTTCACCGGTGATATACGAGAGAGAACAGAGCGCGTACAGAGGCCGCCCACCGGAAGACAACACCAGGACTTCCGGGGAGCGTGGGAGTTTCACAATAAGAGCCGCGCAGAATGAGTTGGATTTCAAAATAGTTTTTATTATCCAAAATAGACTTTATTAGTCCAAAACTAGTGATTTGTCCCAGTTTTACTCAAGAAATGTCCCTGGTGTCCCAATTTTTGACCAATTTGATCTTGCCAACAGTAAAAAGAGACATACATTGTGATTTGTTTAGGTAAAATACAGTGTTGGGGAGTAACAGATTACATGTACCAGAGTTAAGTAATCAGAGTACAAATGATGAGTAACTGCATTCTGTTACAGTTACTGTTCCAGTGAGTGGTAATTGGATTACAGTTACTTTGTTGAAATAAATGGATTACATGGCAGTATTTTCCTGTTTTCACATTTTGGGCTGAACTAGGACTAAAACCAGGACTAAAACCAGTTCTAAACCAGGACTAAACCAGGTCTAAGCCAGCACTAAACCAGGTCTAACCCAGGTCTAAACCAGGTCTAACCAGGACTAAACCAGGACTAAACCAGGTCTAAACCAGGACTAAACCAGGTCTAAACCAGGTCTAAATCAGGACTAAACCAGGTCTAAACCAGGACTAAACCAGGTCTAAAGCAGGTCTAAACCAGGACTAAACCAGGACCAAACCAGGGCCAATTTGATGAGAACAAACAAGAATTTTCAGGATGTGGTCAGTACATTCATGCAGTTTTAAAAAGCTTGACAATATCAAGTAATCCAAAGTATTCAGATTACATTACTCATTTTAAGCAATTTAATGGATTACGTTACAAACTACATTTTGGGGTGTGTAATCTGTAATCTGTCGGGGATTACATTTTAAAAGTCACCTTCCCAACACTGCTAAATACAGAAAAGCTGCTTAAAAATTACCAAAACACAAAGAAAATGTGACTATACTGACTCACATGTTCGTCATGAATGAACCGAGTGCAGAACAATTCTTCTTAACTACGGACTAGATTCACAATTTTGTTATTGCCAGGGTTAAAAAAAAAATAGTTTTTGAACTCATTTCAAAAACTATTTTGAAATGAGTTCAATTTCAATATAGTTTTTATTTCTGTTTTGGTTTAATCTGCAGGTTTAGATGTTTCTGTTTACTCAGGACAGTCCCAGTTTTGAGTCCTGTGTCCTCTGTCCCAGCAGATTTATACAAAACCACTGATTTGTCTCATTTTTAAACAAGAAATGTCCCAGGTGTCTCTATTTTTGACCAATTTGATCCTGCCAATAGTAAAGAGAGACATAAACTGTCATTTGTTTTGGTAAAATACAGAAAAGCTGCTTAAAAATAACCAAAACACAAACAAAATGTGACTATTCTGACTGACATGTTAATCATGAATGAGCAGAGTGCAGAATAATTCTCCTTAATTACGCACTAGATTCACAATTTTATTACCAGGGTTAAAAAACAATAGCCAGGGTTCCCACGGTCATGGAAATCCTGGAAAAGTCAGTGGAATTTTGTAAATTCAATGAAAGTTTTGGAAAAGTCATGGAATTTTAGTTTCTCTTTCACACAGTTCCAGTGTTCTGTTCAGTTTTCATGAGTCTGTTCTGATTATTTCTGAACGTCTGAGTCTTTTGTTTGAAAAGAGACGATAATAAATGTACTGACAGGATTTAGAATGTTAAAAACCATAAGGTGAGTGGAAAGGGTTAACATTTCATATTTAGCCCTAAAAGTCTGATCAGTGTTTGGAGTAAACTGGAACATTTCACGTGAGAAATTCAGCTGAGATGAAGGTTCAGACTGACTGATCCTCGCTGTGGCTGTAGCTGTGAATGTTTTAATGTAAACATACAGAGAACATTGATATTTGACATCTTGAAAACCGCTTGCGGCTTTAATGTCATTTGTTGCCACTAATTCACTTTTAAAAATCCCTCTCAAACTAAAATATATTTGCAAGTTTAGCTATTTAGCTTTTTATCACGTTCATATTTTCGTTGCTGCTAATGCTAACGTAAAAACACAAAACAATGTTGCTAACCTAGATCAGGAAATGTACCAGTAATCAGGGAAAGTACGCTGTCTGGATTCTTCCTAAAGATCTCTCAACTAACTTGTTCCAAATGGCAATCCTGGCCTACACATACAGTCTCTGGACTCTTTATGACATCATACTCAAAGCTTGTAAACGCTTTGAGTATGATGTCATAAAGAGTCACATGGCATCACAAAGCCAATCGACCAATCAGATGCCAAGAAAAAAAGTTCAAAGTGGTTACTAGGCAACAGAGTCTTGTTGTGATGTCATCATTTTGTAAAGAGCAAAGGCACAGTGAGTTTTAAAAATGTGTCATATATTTTTTTATATAATGCAGCCGTTCCCAGCTTTTTCTTATCTTGAATACACCCCAACTTTGTGTCACACTTCTCTGTTATTACTATATTTTCTTGTTTTATTGATGCCCAAAATCCTTACTCTTAAAGGGTCCATATTACACTCTATACGATCTGTTATAGTGTTGTTTCCTCACCAAAAACATACCTGGAGTGGTGTTTGGTTTACTCAAACATGTGTGAATGAAACAAAACACAACTATGTGTAACGGTTGCAGATTCTTTGTCAGGCCGTATACAGAAGACAGGACACAGTGTGGAGTCAGTCCACTTTATTCCTGTGACATATAAATATTCTATTAACATGTCTCTGCGTATCAGCACTGGCTCCCCTCTGCAGTTGCCGCGAAAATGAACAGCCGTCTCACGGTGCTGTTTTCATTCTTGCAGAGGGGAGCCAGTGCTGATACGCAGTGACATATTAATAGAATATTTATATGTCACAGGTATGTTTTATTTTGTTTTATTTTTATGAAGGGTGTGAATTGTGCATTTGTTTCTCCAGATAGCTGCTCCACTGTACTGGATTTGACATTATTTTGTTGTTCATACATGATTTACATAAATGAGCCAGTTTGTAAGTGTAAGCCCCTCTCTGTAGCACGGAGGAAACTGCAGAGGGGAGCCAGTGCTGATACGCAGAGACATGTTAATAGAATATTTATATGTCACAGTGTAACCAGGGTAAAGTTCAATTCCCTTATCCAGATCCAATCCAGGTTTTCCCCTCTCCACATGATTTGTCACCGCCCATTTCACCAATTATCCAATCACACATCCCCAATCAGAGTATATAAGGTCCCCTGACTTCTCTCTCCTCAGTTGTGTGGGAGAGGAGCCAGGGGACAGAGCTTGAAGGTCAGTACATATACACTGTTTCATTTCAAATTCTCATGTTCCCATTTTTTAACTTCACCATTCACGTCTTTTAGAACCAGACCCGGTATGCAACATTGTCACGTGTGCTTTCAATACACTAAAACACTACTGAACTGGTAAGTTAGAAGTGAACCCTGTTTATTGATTTATTTAATGGCTTTTTGTTCTTGTGGCTTTGTCTGCTAGTGCTAATGCTAGAGCTAGCATGCTAATGCTAAGGTTAGCCATTTTGTCATATGCCCTATGTCTTGCTCTATGTATCATTGTCCATGTTAGCTTAGCATTAGCATGCTAACAGCTAGCATGCTAATGCTAACATGTGCTCCACATGATTAGTTGTATCTTGTGACTGACTTATGAACTCTTGTAATGTTAATGTCAATGTTAACGCTAAACATGTTCTAAGAGGCCTTTTGTTAATGTGCACACAGGCCAGGTGCCCAAACTAGGGTTCAAATTGATGGCGAGCTAGGAACTGTCCTTTTGAGAGCTCCGGTCTGGTAGGAGGCTAACCGCCTGTCCTCTCTCTCCCACCTACTCCAGCTGCCTCCACTACAAACTATTCAATCAACCGCGCTTTATGGACATCATACAACCTCAAAGTAATTCATACTGGACTTTGAAGTAGTTTGGACTCTCTGTTCACACCCTGGGCAACCAGACCCAGTTCGCAAGGACATTTAACTGAGTTGTTTGATTTTTGTTGCTGCAGCTGTTGTATATTTTGTTGTCTCACTTTCTACCTGTATAATACACTTTATTAATTTTCCACTAATCCCATGCCTCAATTTACTGCCCCTGCCCTCCAGTAGCCTTACTTAGAATCTTCTGATCATTCAACTTTGCTAATTACACATAATAATCATAACACAGCTACTACATGGTTATTACAGTTACAATCATTTCATATTTGTTACACTTTTATTACCTAAGTAATAAGCAACCACTTGTTGTTTTTTGAATAAAGTGGACTGACTCCACACTGTGTCCTGTCTTCTGTATACGGCCTGACAAAGAATCTGCAACCGTTACACATAGTTGTGTTTTGTTTCATTCACACATGTTTGAGTAAACCAAACACCACTCCAGGTATGTTTTTGGTGAGGAAACAACACTATAACAGATCGTATAGAGTGTAATATGGACCCTTTAAGAGTAAGGATTTTGGGCATCAATAAAACAAGAAAATATAGTAATAACAGAAGTGTGACACAAAGTTGGGGTGTATTCAAGATAAGAAAAAGCTGGGAACGGCTGCATTATATAAAAAAATATATGACACATTTTTAAAACTCACTGTACCTTTGCTCTTTACAAAATGATGACATCACAACAAGACTCTGTTGCCTAGTAACCACTTTGAACTTTTTTTCTTGGCATCTGATTGGTCGATTGGCTTTGTGATGTCATGTGACTCTTTATGACATCATACTCAAAGCGTTTACAAGCTTTGAGTATGATGTCATAAAGAGTCCAGAGACTGTATGTGTAGGCCAGGATTGCCATTTGGAACAAGTTAGTTGAGGAGAGCTTTAGGAAGAATCCAGACAGCGTACTTTCCCTGATTACTGGTACATTTCCTGATCTAGGTTAGCAACATTTGTTTTGTGTTTTTACGTTAGCATTAGCAACAACGAAAATATGAACGTGATAAAAAGCTAAATAGCTAAACTTGCAAATATGTTTTAGTTTGAGAGGGATTTTTAAAAGTTAATTAGTGGCAACAAATTACATTAAAGCCGC